AGGAGTTAGTGTCCTTGTCTGTACGCTGAGTCATTTCAATGAGATCGGCTCTGATGCCTTCACACTCAGAGATCCGAGCCCCATCCTGCGCTGGGTGCCGCTGCACCTATTTCATGTCCACCCTTATTCCAAAACACCATTTAGTACTAACTTACTGGCGGAGGGGCACTGGTTTGGGGTGTGTCTTGAGACACTGGTTGGTGGGGGCTGTGGCTTCCCTGGAGGGTCGTCGCCTCTCTCTCGGATCCGCCTCTGACCCTGTCTCAGGAAGGCCTGTTTGTGAGGGGAGGGGAGGGGAGGGAGGTGCTGCTCTGGCGTGGGCTGCGTGGGCTGCTCAGGCTGCAGCGGCCCAGGAGCTGGGCTCTGCCCAGGACCCCGAGTCTCCTGTCATTTCAAGCTGTTTCACTAGTTTGACTCTGATTAAAAAACAAAACCAAACCCAGACACTCCTGCATGCTACTCCTAAGTCACCGTGCAAAGCTCAGCCAGGATCTGTGGGGCATTTTCTTTCTAGTGGACCTGACAGTGTTGGGCAGGGCCCCCTGGATTAGTGATCACGGTGTCATGAGCGGGGAGTGCTCTGTGCCCATACTGCAGGCACTTGCCACCCTCCCGCTGAGAAGTGGTGCCCTGGCACCAGCCCCTGCTGGCCGAGAGCCCAAGGAACCTCACCTCTTCAGTGTGAGGGAAGCAGCCTCGCAAAGACAGGCAACGGCAGGTCAAGTCCCCACCCCGCCAGTCACGCTGTTTGTGACCTCTGAGACTTGGCTCTGACCTTGTGAAGGGCTCTCGGCGCCTTAAAGGGCCACTGTCTGTGCTGTGCCTGGGGCAGGCTCACTCTCCTTTGCATCAGACTTATTCTCGCTTGGTTTTGCCCTCTGCAGTGGCCCAGAGGGGGCCCGGCCTGCGCAGCCTTCCTTCTGCCCCAAATCGCACACTGCACCCCTCTCAGCCCTGCACATCTCATCTCACGCGGGCCTGGGTGTGGACCCCGCCTCTCCGAGACGATGTCATAATCCGCATCGTTCTTCCCGAGGAGCTGCCGGCCATGTGGCCTCGGTCTGCAGCGTGTCCATCTGAGGGTGCGCCCCTGTGCGGGTGCTGGGTGGGGGTGGGGGAGCAGTCCCTTAGCTGGGAAACCCACAGACACGCCTGGGTCTGTTTCCACCCCTTTGCTAAGGCCAACTGCTCAGGGAAACGATGAAACTAGCTGCCAGGCAGCGGACACCCCTCGCAGGGCGAGCAGTGTGGGCACCGGCTGCCACTCAGGCGGGTGGAACCTGCTCTGGACCTTGGGACTGGCCAGGAAGGGAGTGGACCCGATACATCCAACCTCGCAGGCAAAGGCGGTGGACAAGGCAAGGAGCCAGTCTGGTTGTCCCTTTGGCTTAAACTCAGCCCTCTCCTCAAAAGCCAGGCAAGAAAGAACCGGTCCCATTCTCCAGGAGCCAGGCAAGGTGGGGGGCAGCTGTCCCCTGGCCCTACAGCGGATGCTCCCCCGACACTGGCCTCCTTGCTCCCCAGGTGGGCCCATGCCCCCCTGTAGGGAGAGGTATTTACCGGGGGACTGATGAGGGGAGACTGAGGCACCAATACACTTGCCCGAGGGGTAGAGCTCAGGAGGCGGGCTGCTCCTCAGCTGCCCCGGGGGTTTGATGCCCTGTCTTGCCCAGCCTTGCAGACCAAGTTCTCTCTCTAAAGCTTCTCCCTTCGAGCCTGGGCCATTGGCAGCTCACATGCTCAGAGGGCTCCCAAGCAATGCCATTCTGTCCCAAGGTAGGCCGGGGGTGGGGGCAGCTGTCCCCTGGCCCTACGGCAGGATGCTCACCGGACACTGGCCGGCAGCCCTGAGAAGGCAGGGGCCACACCTGACTTCACGGTATTCACGGCTCAGAGCCCAGCTCATAGTCGATGTTCAAGAGGATATGCTGAGCCCTAACCGGTTTGGCTCAGTGGATAGAGCATCAACCTGCGGACTGAAGGGTCCCAGGTTCGATTCCAGTCAAGGGCATGTACCTTGGTTGTGGGCACATCCTCAGTAGGGGGTGTGCAGGAGGCAGCTGATCGATGTTTCTCTCTCATCGATGTTTCTAACTCTCTATCCCTCTCCCTTCCTCTCTGTAAAAAATCAATAAAATATATTAAAAAAAAAAAAGGATATGCTGAGCCCTGGCCAGTGTGGCTCAGTTGGTTGAGCGTTGTCCCATGCACCGAGAGTTGCCGGTTCGATTCCCGGTCAGGGCACATGCCCAGGTTGTAGGCTAGATCCCCAGTGGGGGGTGTGCAGGAGGCAGCTGATTGATGGATCTCTCTCTCCCGTCCTCTCTCTCAAAATCAATAAAGACATAAAAGAGTATATGCTGAGCGATCATCGCAGCACAGGCAATAAACTTGTCACTGCGAGATGACCTACACTTCTCCCCACTCCGGGCCCCCCAGCCAGACAGGCCGAAGCACCAATGGTATCGCCCTCTCCCGGCATGGTGGTTGGGTGTTTTGGGGTGACTGTTTGAGAGCCCTGGCTGGCAGGGAGTGGGGACAATACTTTTTTCCTGCTGAGCTGGGTGGATTCTGGCACCGTGCTGTGAAAAATGGACTTTCTTCTCCCTGGAAGGGCTGCCTCCCTAACCCTCACCCTCACCCTAACCCACATCTCTCTCTAAGCACCTGCCACCTGTGCTTGGGGAAAACTTGGTTCTCCAGGCCCAGGTTTGCTCTCGCTGCCATGATGGCATGGTGGTGTGGGCGAGGGGTAGTCCAGAGCCGAGCGGGGTGTAAACGAGGAGTGAAGACAGGCTGAGGAACCACTGCCCCACAAGACCCAGGGGTAGCGGGGGCCCTTCCGTGGCCATCAGCTGTGCAGCAGACTTTGTAGAAGCAGGGCGAGGGGCCTGATGACTTCCCACAGTCCTGCTTGCCCTAGGAGACCGTTTCCAGTGCAGTCAGTTCATTAGTGTGTGTGGTGCAATATGGACGCAGGGCCTGAGAAACTATCTTGCTCAGACACAGTGTTTTCTGAAAAGGCCGGTCCTTTCCTTCAGGCCACAGGCACTCTTCCTGGCACTCCCTGCAGGGCCCGGGGCCCAGGCTGCAGGAGTACCTGGCTGTGTCCAGGCAGGTGTCAGAGGGAGGCCAGGGGAGGGGGCCCCTGAGCTCACTCCTCAGCCCCCTGCTATTCACCCTGTTCCTGTCGCCAAGAGAGAGCTGCCCCTGGGGCTTCTAGGTAGCAAACCTGCCCGTGGTTCCCAGGTTCAAACAAACAACTGGCCCAGCTCGGGGCTATGGTTTCTTACCTGCAGACAGAGTGTGTGTCTGTGGGCCTGACCTTCACTGACGGGTCACTAAGTGATGCAGGCACAGCTAATACCTTTGCGGCTTATACACGTGGCAAATGCTGCTTCAATAAAGTCTCCGAAGGGCACAGCCCCGTTCCTGCCCAGGTCCCTGGCCAGCAGCTGGAGGCTCAACTCAGAGGCTGTGTCTGCGGCAGGTGGCCCATCACAGGGTCAGCGTCCCCCTCCTGAACCCGACGCTAGCTGCAGCGACAGCTAAAGATTCCTCTCAGGCTCAAGCTCTCTCCTCTGAGACCAGGTACCTTTGGTTTAGAGAGCGGGTTAGTGGGGTGGACGAAGGCGGTGCCTTCGGTCTCTGAGCACTGCAGGCAGGTCTGCGAAGGTCCCCTCTGGGCCACGGCTCGCAGGGCACGTGTGAAGTGGTTGCTTCTGGGTCTGCTGTGATGCTTGCAGAGACAGGCCTTGCTGGAGGCTTGCGGCTTGCAGGGAGGGCTGGCGCCCGGGGCTGCAGGGACACGGGAGTTGCGTAAGGCATACGAAGAGAGGCGCGCTGAGTCCTCCAGGCCGGGCTTCACAGCACGGCTCGGGTGCTGTCCCGCGGGGTGCTGATAGGGAAACACCCTACGGGAAGGACACCCCGTCTGCACAGTTGCAATGTTACAGAGAACCGACCGAAGGGATGACACCTGCAGAGGTGAAGGGGGAGCAGTGCTTTACACCCCCAGACACCCCAGCCAAGCTTCCGCACCACAAGGCCCCATCTCCTGGAGGGCGCGGCGCAGACCCTGGCCAGGTGGGGGGCACCCTCTCCTCTGGGATACAGTGGGCGTGGCCCTCACGCCTAGTCCTGGGTGTCCCTGATGGGGAGGAAGGAGTCCAAACCCAGTCCTGTTCTCTTCTCTCGAGGTGAGCACAGCTCCCCAGGGGCCGGGTGCCTGCTTTTCTGCTGCTTGAGGTCCCCAGTCACTGGAGTTGAACTTTCCATCAGGGCCCGCTCCTGCTCCTCACACTCCTGCACCAGTCAGTGCGGCTCTTGTCCCGGACACTCTGGAGGATCGGGCAGGATCACAGGGAGGAGCAAGAGGTAGCCCACCTCCCAGCTGAGCCAGAGCCAGGCAAGAAGCCCTGTCCGCCCTCTCCCTGCCAAAAATACTGTCATTTTTCCGGAAAGGAGCCAAGCCCAGCTCAGCAACAGACAAGGCCGAGGCGATGGGTTGCGGGCAGGGGGAGGCATACGGCGAGAAAGGCATCCTTCGAAATCACTGGCCCCACGCGGTTGAATACTGCGGCTTTTCTGTATGTTCCTTTATGGACCAAAGCTTTTTTTACCCATCGTTGCAGTTTTTTTTTGGGGGGAGAGGGTGGAGGGGAGAGAGAATCCACCTATTCTTTCTCTTCCCAGGGATACTTCAGAAGGAAGGGAAAGTGGAGACATTGGGTCTGAAGGGGAAGATGCATAAAGCAAAACAAAGGCAATGACAAGTACCAGAACCGACAGGAAGTGGTGAGTGTATGCTGAGGTCAAGGGCAGGCAGTGTGGGGGGGAAGGCTCAGGGCTGCTGTGAGGCTGAGCAGGGGCCCGGGTGCCCTCCAGCCGAGCTCGGCCATGGCTCGGGCTCTCCCCCACCGATGGCACCTGGTGTGTGGGTCATTGGGAGGGGCTTATGGTTGGCTGGGTGGTCAGTGGTCCTCACAGCTTGGCAGGCCCCCACGCTGTACCCTGTCCACGAAGGTGGCGGTGGCTCGGTCGCCCCCGCGCCTCTCCCCCAACTTGGAAAGCAGTGGCTGTGCCCGGGCTCCGCTAGGCCAGAGAGTAGATGGCGTTGACGGGCGACGTGGCCTCCGAGCTCTCGTTGCCTTCGGTCTCCTCCTTGTCCTTTTTGACCGTGTACTGGCCGATGAAGGAGCCGTCCTCGTTGAACTGCCCCTCGCCGCCCTCGCCATAGTCCACCAGGCTGTCGTCACTCTCCTGCTGCTTGATGGTGCCGTCCAGCGACGTCTGGCTCGCCTGCAGCGGCTTGTTGTCCTCGTCACTGGCCGGAGAGAGACAGAGAATCAGAGCTGGCCCGGCCCCGTGCTGCCCACACCTGGGGCGGGGCAGGGCTGGCCTCTTGCCATGCAGAGGCACGATGGGCTACACAGCTCCGAGGGGACAGGTCCTCAGGGACCAGCCCATCCAGCCCTCCCCGTCCAGCCAGTTCTACAGACGGGAAACTATGGCCCGGAGCCCACACAGCTTCTCCAAGTGAGGGGGAAAGTTGGTGCAGAGCCGGGACAGGAGCCCACACTTGACTCCTGGCTGGGGTCCTCTCCATGGGGCTGGGCCACTCTCTGGGGTGGGAGGGAGCAGGCAGAGCCCACTGCTGGGAGACCAGGCGGATGGGAGTCAGGATGGGTCAGCCCTTCTCTTAGCCTCTCCATCAAGAGGGGTTGGACTAGTTTTACTCTTGATTTGTGACTTCGGTTTTTTATCACTATTAAACTTTTTTATTGATTTAAGAGAGAGAGAGAGAGAGAGAGAGAGAGAGAGAGTGCATTCATTGGCTGACTCTTGTATGTGCCCCGAGTGGGGATGGAACCCGCAATCTTGGCGAATCAGGATGATGCTAACCAGCTGAGCTACCCGGCCAGGGCTGATGAGTGGCTTAGTCTGAAAAGGCTCTGCCCTTGACAGAAAACCAGGGTTAGGCCTTAAAGAAACAAACCTTGGCCCTGCCCCTCCCCTTCTCAGCCCAGGTGTTGTTTCTCTCAGCGCTGTCTCTCATTTATCTACAAACAGATGCTGTTGCTTCAGGCCTAGCAAGTGAAAGAGATAGTGACATGCAGATAACAGGTGAGACCAGAAACGGCTCAAAGGCATCCTGTAGCTCCCTGAGGCCCTTCTTGGGCAGGGAGGGCTGGGAGGCTGGTGGTGAGGGTGGCAGCTGCCCACTGTGCCTGCGGCCCCCAGCAGGTGAGGCACCCGAGTGGGCCAGCATCTGCTCAGGCACCACATCCCGTCTCCCGGCTGGGAAACTGCCCTTTAGGCTCTGAGGGTGGCTGGGTGCTGCTGGCTGCGCTTCAGAGGGGAACCGGCGCCCAGGCAGGAGGCAGTGGGACCAGCCATGAGGATCTGGGTCCCGGGAGGCGGGACCATAGAGGTGCCAGGTGGTCTGAGCAGACACACACCGTCTCCTCCACAGTCCCCAGGCCACACTCAACACTCCTTCCTGGGTGTGCGGGAAACAGGCGGAGTGGCCATTATCCTGGGGAGTGCGGTCTGGCCTCTAACAGCAGTGCTGGGCGAAGGCAGCTGTCGGGGGAAGGCGCGAGTGAGAGCGGAGGTGCTGGGCATTAGCAGATGGAAGGCTATCAGTGATAGAGTGATCGAGCGATCGTGGCCCCATTCACAGCCCCACTGTGTTCTCTGAGGCCGTGCTGCAGGAGAGGGGCCGAGTGAGGGAAGTGGAGCTCACCTTTTGAGACCTAGCAGAGTTTTTAAAAACTTGAAGATCTAAATTGGTTTTATTAAGCGATTCATAAATTGGGCTGCATCTCATCTAGCAACTAGATTCTAGTTACCAGGCCCCTTACTCCGCCTGCCAGGCTCTTTCACATGCATTCCCTCCCCAGAGCTCGCCCCCCACCCGCAGAAACATGAGGACTGTGTCTGTGACTTGAGGGCATTCCAGGCCCCGAGGTAAATGCGACCACTGGACCGGAAAGGGATGCCCTCTTGGTGGGAGGCAGGGAGGAGGACCCAAGTCTGGAAGGGACACACTTCTCAAAGGGAAGATGAGAGAAGCCAGGATGACGGGGACCCTGCTCTAGCCTCCTGTCAGCCTACCTTCCAAGAAGCCTCCGAGGGCAGGTAGACAGACAAGGGTTTGGGGGGCGGGGAGGCAGAGGGACCCCCAGCGAGAGGTGCTCTCCTTGCCCCGGGCCTGTGCGCCTAGAAACTTGTCTTTTCCTCTGATGTCTTCATTTCAGCCCTTTCCCAGTTTAGGGCTCTTGGACTCATCCCAGTAGGGGCTCTAGGATGAATGCTGCAGACCTCACCCCCTTCCCAGCCAAAGCTGAGGGGGTGTGTGTGTGCGTGCACGTGGGGGTGCACGGTCCGTGCATGCGTATCCAACCTCAGTGTTGGCGGGGCAGGAGTGGGTGGGGAGGAGGCAGGGGTTTTGCCCACCAGCTCTGGCGTCCAGGGGAGGAGCGGTGCCTGTGCAAACAGCTTCTCCCAGCACAGGCTGCCTGGTCCGGTGCTTGCGGGCCTCACCCCTCCTCGGTGGCTACACTGAGGGTCTGGGGGAGAGAACGCCCCACAGCCTTGGGACCTGATGACCAGGGAACAGCTTATGGAGGAGCTGGGCCCCACCAGGGTCCTGAGGACCGTCGGGAGGGGCCTCGCCTGCCTGCCCTGGGGGAGGCTTACGGGAGGTTGGCTGGACGTGGTCCGTAAGCCGCCAGACAGGCTCCAGTGTGGGCAGTGAGTCTGCTGCCCATTGATCTGCTCTGCTTGCCAGGCTGCGGATGGGCAGAGTGGCGGAGGCCCAGGAAGGGATGAGGTGGTCAGAGGAGGACAGGGATGACGTGGCCCCGGAGAGTGACTGGGTGGGGTGGGGAAGGAGGGCTCTGAGGAGAGCATTTCCTCCCACCCACCTTGGTCTGGGCATGACCCTCCACACACTGTTCCTCAACTCAAAATACACTCGCCGTCAAAACAGGCAGACCGCCACTCTGCTAAGCCAGATACAAAGGCCTGTCCAGACCTGAGAAGGAGCATGGTGTAGGGCCTCCCAGCTCTGCCACTAGCTCACCAAGTGGCGAATGTGAGTCTTGGGCAGGTCACGGGTCAGTCCGGGCCCCAGTCCTCTTTTGGGACAGTCGCTGACCCAGATGCTTCTCTAAGGCCTATTCAGCCTAAAGCCCAGAGATATTGTTCAAGTTCCTGAGGAAAAGGCCTAGGACACCCCGCCCCACTACCACCATGCCCTTTACCCCTCACCTAGCACACCCTTTAGGACAATCCAGCTTCCCTGGGACAGTATCTGCAGGTTGGAATGGGGTGTAGGCAGAGAGGAAGCGGAGAGCCCGGCTCACTTCATAGCAAAGAGGACCCAGGGCTTGTTTTCAGAGTAAAAAGCTGGGAACACGTGTAAATAGCCTGAGCGATCTCAGCTGCGCAGCTGAACGAGAAAAGGCCGCGCACGTGTGTCGGGCAGTGTGGGGGCAGCCATGTTCGGCACAATCAGGACGAGCAGGTGCTGCCGGAGACAGAGGTGACTGCCAATGGGCGATGGGGGAGGACCTCAGGACAGTGGCCCGTCAGCCACGCCAGCTGCTGAGGGCAGGGCCTGCTCAGGGCAGCGAGGACAGCCACCCGACAGGGGGCACTGCTTGCCTACAGGAGCCAGGGAGACCACCCACCTGTAGTCAAACGAGCCATCCTCTTCTTTGGGGTCCTCGGG